TTTTTTATTAAAGACACTGACCTTTTTTCAGCTTTCTAAAGCTAAAGTACGGCCTCTGGCAATGTACACCTGCACAGCTCTGCACATGGGAATGCCAGGAGCCCATTCATAAATTGTATGTCAAGAAACCCTGATTTGTAGGATGCTACTTCCAGTGCTCTTTATTGGAAATGGGTTTTACCAAGTTTCCCAGCCATTTGTATTTACCAAAGGTTGTAAAAAATTAGGTGTGGATAAAAATGACCATCTAAGTGAAAATGGAAAGGGAGTCCATTTCTTAGGCATGAAGCCAAAGATTAAATTACCAATCAGCAAGTACACAGTGATTCCTAGACTCAAGACTGAAGCAAAACATGGGACAAGACCCTCAGAAAAGCTGAAAACTCACTCTACCCAACTTCTCCCATCTTCCGCCAACCGGCCTGACCATTAGAAGCATCTGTGCAAAGCCTTCATACACACAGATCTAGGGCCCTAGCCTAGAATTGGATCAGAATTTACAGTGAGTGGCAAAGGTTCACTCGCCAGGTCCTCATGCTAAGAGCCGACCTTAAACACCTGTCTACCACGACTGGTTGGAAGGAATGAGTGACATGGATGCAGCCCAGCACCAGCGTGAAGCTGCAAGTCTTCAGTACATGTTTGGAAGCCTCAACCTGCACAGCCACTGCACTTACCACGTGTGCAGCTAGGCACATTACTGTAAGGACACAGGAAAGGCTGGGAGGGGGGCAGGAGGGCTGGGAATTTTTTTCAGGAAGGCAAGGATTGTTTCAGGTGGAACACACTAGCTGCGAGTCTACCATAGCAGCAGTGCCTGTCTCTGTGAGGAAGAAGGAAGAAACCCTGCACTAGAGACAAAGGAGATTGACCAGTGAAGGTGGACTTACTCCCCTGAATTCTTCATCTCCTGACCGGAAGTCACCAGCTCCATCATCTACCAGACACAAAAGTAATTGGAAAAGTTAGCCCCTCAGCAGTGGCCCGGTTTTCACCCTCCCAAGCTCACTGTCCAGAGTGACGAAGCCTATCCTGACCACAGTGGGGACTGTGGGAGTTTGGGTGACACACAGCACCCTTGAGTTCCTGGGTGTCCACTGTACGGACAGGCAGGCAAGGCACTAAGCATGCAACGGACTCATCTTATACCCACTGAGAACTCACTGAATCCCACCCCCAGGGCGTACCATTTTCGGAAAAATCTCCTTCGCTGTCAGCCCGGGCCTGTTTGGCATCCGGCTCATCATAGATTTGCAACTGCTTCCGTTTCCTGCCCATGCCATCTGGGCCGCAGCGGTCAAACCCTCTCCACCTGGGCTACAGACACAAGCACATCCTGATGTACCACCTTCCCGGGCCATTAAGATACCCCAGGGCCGTGGTTGGCAAACTGCAGCTCACGAGCCACATGCGGCTCTTTGGCCCCTTGAGTGTGGCTCTTCCTAAGCCTTAGGAGTACCCTAATTAAGTTAATAACAATGTACCTACCTATATAGTTTAAGTTTAAAAAATTTGGCTCTCAAAAGAAATTTCAATCGTTGTACTATTGATATTTGGCTCTGTTGACTAATGAGTTTGCCGACCACTGCCCCAGGGGAATGAAGAATGAAGAGGGTATAAGATGAGAACAAAGATAGACAAGGTCTTTTCAGAAGGCAAAGAAAGACAACATAGCTTAACCCCCCACAACCATTATGCTGAAGTTAAAAAGCTAAACACAAAAGGACACATATTGTATTCATGTGTTATAACCAAAACAGCAAATCCATGCACAGAAAGGTGTTAGTGGTTGCCAGGGACTAGGGGAGAAAATATGGAGTGACTGCTAATGACAGAGTTTCTTTCTGGGTTGACGGAAATGTTCAAAAATTAGACGGTGGTGAAGGCTGCACAAGTCTATACATTTTTACTAAAAGTCAAATTATACACGTAAAAATGAGTGAATTCTACAATCTCTAAATTTTACCTCAATAAAGCTGTTTAAAAAGAAAAGCAAGGCAGGCAGGGTAGAACTTTGCAAGGGCTTACCCGATCCCTCATCCGGGTCTGTGACTGGCCACATCTGTAGGGCACGGAGTTGTCATAACCTCCAGCCCCCTGCATGCCCATCACTCCATAGTTGGGGGCCATGGACTGGGGGGCCATGGACTGGGAGAAGAGGGAAGGTGGGGGCCTGCTGGGAGAGGGGCCTCCCAGGCCCCGTCCACCCACGTAGTTCATTTCTGTCCAGGGAGCAGACAGTGGTTGGGAGGAGGCCGCTGATGTCATGAAGGGGTCAGTGCGCATAAAGGTGCCAGCGTTGCTCCGGTCCTGAAAGCGGCCCTGATCCCGGCCCCGCATGAAGCCATCGAGTGAGCGGGGCTCCCGGGCAGGTCCCGACAGTCACTGTACTGACTGCCAAAGCCACCATTGCGGTCAGGTCCCAGGTCAAAGTCATAGTTGTAGCTATAGCTGGGACGGTAGGGATTGTGCTCAGGCAGACAAGGCCTGGAGTCGTAGGAGTCAAATGACTGGAAGCGGAAGGAACTGCAAAGAAAGCACAACCATGACTACATGCTCTGTGTTCAATCTCTACACCTCCTGCAAAGCTGACCTCCCTACACTCAGAACAGGAAAGCAAACCAAACCACCACGTGCCCCTCCTAAATGCCTGGAGGCGAAACAGACCAATACTCCCCTCCAAACACTGATGAATGTGGGCACAAGCCATTGGCCACAAGAACAGGGAGGTTGTTAAGCTCCTGGTGCAAAAATCAGGAGTCTGGCATAGTTTAACCACAGCCATGCCCTAAACCCCGCCACTGAGGAAACCAGCAAGTCCAATTACAATGCCTCTATCCCAACAAAGGCCCAACTCATCTACCCATGCTCAGGAGGGACCGGGGAAGAGCATTCCTGGGAGAGCAGGTACCCACTCCCTCGAAAGCGTGATGTTTGGATCCCCAGGGAAGGGATCAGGTGTGTAATTACCTCTCCCGGTCCTGCATGCCCTCCCCACCGGTGCTGCTCCCACCCCTGCCTCCTTCCTTGGACATCATGTCTAGACGTTGGTTGATCTTGGCAATGAGGCGAGTCAGAATTGTCAGTGCATGGCTCTGGGCCATAAGAAGCCATATGTATGGCAGGGCCCCCAGGCGCCAGGCCATCACCAGCCTTGGTGGCTTCCCAGGAGGCTGGGCCGTAGCTGTAGTTGCTGCTGTGGTGACGCTGGTGTTCTGGGCACATAATAATTGTAGTTTTCCATAACCTGCCACAGGGAAGAGGAGGCAAAGTCAGACCTTCGCCGCCACAAAGCCCGCCCCGGGTGGGACATG